ATCCCAGTTACTTCTACTGTACTGGGAAGTGCGGTGATCCACTATAAGCGTTTTTAATAACTGAAGGGAAAAATATGGAGAGATTTGAGTTTCTTACTTCTGGGATATTACGCGATATAGCTTCGGCGAAATCTGCTGTCTCCATCTGCAGAGAAGAAGAATAAGTGTAAAGGAGTAACTCTGCTCTGAAGATGGAGGCAGTAGGTTCTCTGAAACACTGGTAGCCTTGTGCCAGACTATACGGCAACAGATCGGAAAATACACTGATCTTCAGGGATAATATTGATTGATTTCTTGATGCTATTCAGTGTCATAATTTATATATCGTCATATGAGATGGGAAATTGTTACTAAGGGTCAGGAAGGAGGTGGACGGTGGCTTATTTCAAATTACAGTCACGACAATTGTTTTTGAGAGACTGAGGAAATTTCAGCAAACCTCAGTCATGTTAGATGGTAGTCCTTCTGAGTTTCTAACCGGGTTACCGCTAGAGTAGGGGTGAACAAAATAAGCCCACGGCCAATATTTTGGCCCGACAACAAGCAACAAAACGCATTAAAATTTTGCTTTCTGTTTGTACTTGTCAAGTACCTCCAATTTAATTCGATGCAAGATTAAATTATTATTATTATNGCAATTGGTGGAATGAAGATTGGCAAGGGAAACCGAAGTACTCGGAGAAAACATTCTCCAGCGCCACTTTGTCCACCACAAATCCCACTTGACCAGACCCGGGATCGAACCCGGGCCGCCGCGGTGGGAAGCCAGCGACTAACCGCTTGAGCTATGGCGCTGCCTTTCCAGAGCGTTACTGCAACATGACATTTCTTGGACTTTAGAAAAGCTGCAAGAAAACAACTCTGCTATGGCTTATTCATTCTGTTTCTACTTCAGGGTCGCAAAATCATACTAATAGCCGTCACAGTCTCACCAAATGCAAGCGGGGATAGGATAAGGAATTGTAAAATTCGAAAAGATTTACATACATTATAATTCTATATAAAAAAATTAAGTTATCATAGAAACAATGGTAGAATATTTAGATAGAATGCCAGAGGAGACATTGTCAATATTCATTTGCACTTACTATCCACAAAGATGAAAACAAACTGGAAAGCCTCAAGGCATCATCTTGCGACTTACATTTTTCATATTACGGATTCACTGACGTCATTCAAAGGCTTGGCGCCACGTCTCAATATCTGACGTTTACACATAAATTTCTTTTTATTTTACCTTTCTTAAAATTATCCTGTGCTTTTCCTTGGGGAGAAGGGCGAGTCGATTATTCCCAGTCGCTGATTTAACTAACTGCAGGTTTGTTTTGACAGTTCCATAAATAAATAAATAAATGTCAATAAATTTTCGGTTCTTGTGAATCTCTTCATTATCGTGTTCGTAAGAGCCCGTCATTGGACCTCATCTTGAGCCAGTTGAATCCAGTCCACATAGTCGCACCCTATTCCTCCAACGTCCGTTCTATTCTTATTCTATTATTATTATTCTATTCCGTTAATGTCTATCGAATCAATTATATATACATTTCTTACCTCACCCGCACTTTACAAATTCCCCGGAATTTTCGTCCTCCATCCTTTGATCGCCAAAATTATATTTGCTGAAGAGTACACAGTCGAAGCTCCTCAGTTTGAAATTCTCTCCGCCCACCTGTTACTTAGGTCCAAATTGACTCTGCTCTCAAACACCCTCAGCATATTGAGTTCATCCGTCAGAGTTATAGCCCAGTAGCGGATCTATATAGGTTGTCAAAGATCCGTTGTTCCCATAGGAAGAGTCCATATCATGGGCGTTGGCGAGGGTGGGGGCGATAACAACCAACACTGGGATTTCTGGATAAAATCAAAATTGAGAAGCGAGGGATATATACCGGATATTAGTACCAAGAATTAAAAATAATTTTTGTTATTACTCTTCTATCGTTCAGAGGCCCATAACTTTAGGGGGATCTGTAAAAATATTCTCAAACAACTGTAAACTTAGTTTTCAAGCAAATATTCTGACTTCCCCCCTCCCCCACAGACAGTAAAATGTAATGGAGGCGCATATAGTCCCCATTCCAATGTTCGGGGTGGTGGTGGGAGAGTCATCATAAACTCGGTGTGCTATTGCGTTGCTAGCAAATACTTATGTCTCAGGTTACATTAATTCCCGTCAACGGTGGTCGTGTTACGCAAAATGCAACTACAGAGCCATTGTCAAAGAGGAATTCTCTAAGATATTCCTATCTATTCATTTCCGTTTGTACTATATTGAATTCTCTGTAACATTTACTGGGTTAAAATGACGTGTTTTAATTTTTTGTGATTATTAAAACTCAACTGGAATGGAAATTAAGAGTATTTTTGGGGTCCTCATGCTTTCTACTGCCTTCTTAATGTTTATGTTGCTGCGAAGAAGCATTTGTATTGTTCCCACAGCTTTGCGACAGCAATAATGGCTCTGACAACACACAGTTGAACTTGATGCATACATTTCAAGGCTCGGAGCGAAACGACTGTAACAGTGCATAAACTGATGTTCTGACATCAAAATTCATCATTACAGCGGAACATTAAGAAATGAAACCGGGAGAGGAACACGATTAAATTGTTACGAGTGTGAAAACTTGGTTTTAAACACAGCTAGAGAGCAAACTGTCTCAAGCGGCAAAACTTCTCGTTTGTATTCAGGAAGTGCACGGTTCGAATCTCGCTAGGGACACGGACTATCTTTCCGGAGATTTTTAATGGTCCTCACCAATCTCTCGTAGCGGATGCAAGGATAGTACCTCACCTAGGTCACCGCCTCCCCCTTCTACACCCTCTACAATTCATTTCTCACTAATCACCTTGACATTCGTATTATCGGCAACTGACAGTATCATTAAGCACACAATAAATAAGTATATAAAAAGTAAAAAGGGCGTATAGAATTTACGCTTCCTGCAACATTTGTTTATCAGCAGTGTTTATTTCGTGGATGATGTCCTAGTTACTTGGACCATACACGCCGGTCATCAGGGCACAAATAACCCAAACAGTATCCACGACAAAATATGCAGCCGCAAAAGACGTACAATACAAAATAGAAAACCGTGGCATACTCTACATAATATGATTGATAACGTGATTCTGATCATTGCCTTTATGGCCACATACATGACAACATTAAGCGAAATGTAAACTTTAACATGGTAGAAAGACACTGAAAAATTATTAATAATGTATACAGCCTGAACATCTACTAATGAACCCCAGTAGAAGGCGCAGACTCAAGACGGTTATTGTAACATACACAACGGTACGTCGAATTGATAGGGGACGTCCGAAAGCTAATGATGATCTTGAGGATGATATTTCATTAACGTGAGCTCTGTGAAGCCATGTTTGGTGTAGTATATCTCAAGACCATATCAACTTGTCTCGGAAACCTTGTAAATAGCTTGTGACCTACTTGGTCTTTGATACTTTGAAACCCAACACTTACAGGTTTTAATTTTACTCTACACGAGCCTCATCAGGGGTCGAAATCGCCTACGAGAAGCTTAAAATGCATAGCGACAATCATAAGAACCTCTCAGAAATAAACTGGAATCTAAATAAGGGGCACGCTGTAGCGTAGTTCGTTGAGGCACTATGTTACAAGCCGGAAGGTCGCGGGTTTAAGTCCCGATAAGGTCATTGGATTTTTTCAGTTGACCTAATCATTCCAGCCGCACCATGGCCCTGGGGTCGACTCAGCCTCTAACAGAAATGAGTACCAGGAATTAATTAAATTATTTTCCTGGGGAAGTAAAGCGCGGCCGGCGCGTAAGGCTGACAATCTTACCGCCATCTTTGAGCCGATTGTCTAGATCAGGCATGTCCAACGCATCGATCGCGATCGACCGGTCGATCGCGGACGATTTTTGGTCGATCTCGTAGGCCTATAAAGAAATTATACGTGAAAAGCATGTAAATTCATTTGTAATATAATATGATTGTATTCAGATTTTGAAGGGAAAATACGTATTAGTCATTCCTATTTTCTGTTCTTATGCAGCTTACATGAAAATTGCTTTACACTTGTGTTAAGTGAACTGTTGGAATGTCCCTACTCTATCCTTATCACGTGAAATAATATTTTTACCAATAATTTTGTTTAAAGCGAGGTACGATGATAGGAGGGAGTGGTAGATCACTGGCAGTTTTGACACTAAAAAGTCGATCATAACCTGTTTGAAGCTGGACATGCCTGGTCTAGATAACGTGGGACCCTCAGCGCTCACGGCCTGTTACAGGGATAGCTTTACTTTACTTACTTTACTTACTTATAATATGAATAGGCCAGCTTTACACCTTGTGTTTTGACATCAAGACGTTTTCCAAAACTGCTATTTTAACACACCTCATCTCACAGACAGAACCAGTTGAGAATGAATCATTTTCTGAAAGAACATCATTGACGTAAGAACATCTCAATTGGCATAACATCTGGACCAAATATACGTAAATGTTGGCTTCAACCCTAGACAGAGACTTAGTTCGTATTGTAGTAATCATCACGTTATTTACGACCATCATGGTAAATTAAAAAAATTATCATGAGCACTCTGAAGTCTTGTAGGAACCAAGATGTGCTTCAGAGGGCTTCAAGGTGTCCATGGATGTATGGTTAGCAATTAGTGCCTTATAGATTTTCATCAACAACAATATTACACGTTGAATTTCAGGTTCTCACAGCAATGGCTGTGAAGAGTTTTGTGCTCTAGGATTCAAAGCTGTGTATTCCAGTGAACATCAACTGACTTTTTGGAGGAACACGTCGCCTCCATCTTCAGGGTCGAAGAGGAAACCAGTTGAGAAACCAGGATGAAGAAGGCAGAAAGCACTGAATATGGAGGCACTATGTTCCTCTTAAATATCAGCCGACTTTCACCAGATTATACAGTGTTATATCCTAGATAATAATTTTGCATGTCTGAATACTGAATTTTTTAAGTATATGCTGTCTGTTGCAGGAAAGAAATTCTTCCCTATCACGTTCCTTGGGAGCATTGTGTGGATAGCCGCTTACTCATATTTGATGGTGTGGTGGGCCAACGTATCAGGCGATACCATACGGATACCACCCGAGGTCAGTACAAATTGCACGCTGTTGTAGCAGCTGCAAAGGAAAGTATTTGGAAGTTTGGAACTAAGAAAGAGGAAGTAGTAGAAAAACTGACATCACATAACGAGGAGCTTCCAAATTCGAACTCTCCATACAAAACTGTTAGGGTGATTAAATTAAGGAGGAGGAGATGGGCGAAGCATTACACACCCTAGGGTAACAAGGAATGCATATAAAATTTTGGTTGAAAATATTCAAAGGAAAAGCAATTTGTGGTGATTATGCATGAGTACAGTGATATTAAAATGGATCTTAAGGAATGTAAGAAGTGCCAGATGAGCTTAAACTTCTCAGAATACGATGAGATGTCAAGCTTCTGTGAAATTGGTAATGGGCAGTTGATATGAAAACAAATCCTCAGAAACGAGATCTGGAGGTCCCATTTAAGAGACATATCATAACGTTCTGTAATTGAGGGATTGCACCTTCATAGCTCAGAACTTAGCTCGTTCAGTGACCAATATGAGTATGAAAAAGATATGTAAAAATACACCTCTTTTATTCTATTGATGAGAATTTAATGAGTCAAAACATTTATAATCACCAGGGACCGGATTTTGATGACCTGAAAATATTTAAAAAATGACCTATAAAATAACCGAAGAAATCCAGAAAAATGACCTAAAATATGACCCAAAAATGTAATATGCAGGGCCCGGATTTTGATGACCTGAAAATATTAAAAAAATTACCTATAAAATGACCGAAAAAATCCAGAAAAATGATGTAAAGGAGAAAAGAAAGAACACTTCGCTTCCATGTTATTCATATTTCAGAAAACATATGAAAAAAACCCTAAAATGGCCAAAAAATGACAAGAAATACCCTTAAAAGTCCAAAAATTTGCCAAAAAATTACCCCCAAAACGAAAAAAATGACCTTGAACCTAAAAATGTCAAAAAATGACAAAAAATTACCTATAAAATTTACATTTCTGTAACCAGCAGCTCATATCCGAGATTTATATATTTAAGAGCATCGCATAGGATACAAGGAAAAAAAGATGACATGTCATCAAAATCCGGGCCCTGATAATCACATTTTACATTCTTTGTATATATTGTATCCTATATTTCGTGTCTCTTTACATATGTTATGGGTCATTCCTTATTTTATTGACATCTGACAAATTCTGTATCTGAGAAATGTAACTCTCATATGTAATAGTGGTTGGAACCTCAATCATGTTGCAGGTGATGGGTTTAACATTCCTGGCAGCAGGTACTTCCATACCAGACCTCATAACAAGTGTGATTGTAGCGAGGAAAGGCTTTGGTGACATGGCTGTGTCCTCCTCAGTAGGAAGCAACATCTTTGATGTCACTGTTGGGTGCGTAATTTATGTTTCTCATCACATGGTGCTGCAAAATGAAGAGCATCAATTTGGAGAAAGAACCATATAAAATATGTAAGATTTGAAGTTTTAACGACGAATAAATATGCAAAAATCTTTACAGGTGATCAGCTGTATCAGTGTCAAACTAAAAACGAACGTTTCAGACATTTCCTTGGTCTCCACCATCAGGATCGGCATGGTGAATGACCATATGTCACTGATATTCATAGCAGTTCGTCATCAATTTGACAAACTGGTATAAATATCAGCAACATATTGTCACTCACCACATCAGTCCTGGTGACAGAGAGCACGGAGATCTCTGAAACACTGGTAATTATCTGTCATCAATCAATAAAATTCTATTCAAATTAGAGTATATAGTTAAAGCAGAATATTCCAACTTCTGTGAGTACACATGTCTATAAAGATATGTGCACAAAACACTGATGTTATGCTAACATTGCCCATATGCACCAACATTCATACCTAGAACATTCAAGGAAAATTAACAGATATTTTATTTCACTGTCACACCAAGTGTAATCAGTGTTTCTTTAAAACAATCTCTTAATGTCCAGCAGGCATTGCTTATTGCTGAAATCTGTGGCATCATACACATTTAGATGTGCATTCACTTATTAGTGACATGTGTAACAAGTGTTTCAGTGCAGTGACATAGTCCTCTCAAAAATGCTATAGTAATAGCGTTTGAGAAAAGTGCCACGTTGTGACCTTTGTTTTCTATGTGGTACTACTGTAGTAATAATGTGAAGGGTGTAACAATAGCGTCATAATAAGTACAATTTGAGGTTCTAACAGTCATGATTAGGAAGAGTTTTCTGTTATAGGATATAATGCTGTGAACCTGTTGAAAGTCAACTGACCTTTCAGATGAACATGTCATCTACATCTTCAGGGTTGAAGAATAAGCCAAGCAAGAAAACAGCATGAAGGAGGCAGCAAGCCTACAGCAAGCTTGCTTTCCACCATTTTCAGGGTTGAAGAATAAACAAAGCCAGAAACCAACATTTAGCAGGCAGGAAGCAGGATTGCAGGCTTGTTGCCTGATACCAGCTGGTTTCTGGCTTGGCTTATTGTTCAACCCTGAAAATGAAGATTAGATGGTCCTCCAAAGTGTCAGTTGACTTTCAGTGGGCTCATGGCATTACATCCCAAAAGACAGAAATTTTTAATGTTCTAATATCTTGATGCTGTGAGTAAGAAAGCTGACTTCCAAAGATCCATCAAAATAAAATCTGTCCAGTTGAGGTCCATCATTTTGTTAACATTTATATTAAATATATATGTTAACAAAACCATGGTCCTTACTTGCACATTTTGAGTACCCATATGTTATAATCCTGGGGAGAAAGGCTAAGAATATTGCAACAACTAGGTGAAAGTGTAGTGTGATAAGTGTTGATGGAGGTTGCAAAACAGTATGTATTAATGAACTATACTAGGAATAGGAAAGAACATAATTGTTAGTTCTGTATCATACGATACAGCGAAGTGGATGGCTAGAACTCCTTGCTTGTTACCTTCATGTGATAAAGAATTACTTCAGAACATCATACAAAATAGTGGCATCAAAGAAATGTGTGTAGTATAGGACTGTAATCTTAAGAGTTATGAGGAATGCAGGAAGTCATACCATTAAAGCTGTGATAACAACATGGATCAGCAACTACTACCTCAGCCAACACACAATTGCTTTTGTTCAGTCAAGTTGAGCCCTACAAAATTATTGTAGCATGTAGTGAGCTGTGTCCCCTGTCTATACAGGTAAGGGACAGGCTCATAAGAAACGATTTGCTTGTTGGCATGGTGCAGTATGCCTCCCTAAGATTGGGTAAGGGATCTCAAGAGAGGAAAACCCAGGTTAGTACGACAGGCCAAGCTGGGCGGATCAACTAGGCAGGAGCTAGTATGGAACATATGGCGACACAGTGTACCTATACGCAAACACTTTCCTAAAACATGGAAATATATTGATAACCTGAGTATACAAATAAAACATGCCTGAGGGGCAGTTACTGGTTTTTACATACAATGGCCAACTGAAGCAGAATTACACTGCGCCTGGCGGCGCACCAAATCAACTGTGCCGCACCTCATGGCGTATCCAAAAACATCCAGTACACATGTACTCAATCAACTTTTCCTAACACAAGGAAGTACATTGATAACCTAGTAAACAGGTGAAACACGCCTGAAGGGCAATTACTGGTTATTACAACCTCTAACAAAAACCAAAATTCCACCGTGCCTCACGGAGCAGCAAATCAACTAAACCACGCCACACGGTGTATACAACCAAAGCCAATATGCCTTACAGCGTGCACAAATCCAGTAAGTCACTTACTTGCAGTTTGGCCCAAGAAACTCAAACATTTACCTCACGACCCAGCCAGCCCCAACTAGCTCATGAGGGCCGCTTCTCCCCCTTCGATCCTCACTACATGCCGAAACAAAATTTCAGTATCATCAACTTAATTGTTCCAAAACCAAATTTAGTCATAGTGATGTTACCAGACGAAGATGTAAGTGAAGAAGCGAACGATCACTTATCTTGACTTACCACAAAGGCTCGCAATTACGCTAAGGAGAGGGGGGGGACACGTGATTCTGACGTCAGCCAAGGACGTCAGCGGGGAAGAAAGGACCGACTCGCATCCTGGTGTCCAGAGAGGCCACTCCAAGGAACTTAACGGAGAAGAACCGTTGGACGGTTCAGTAGAGCCGTTTCTATGCAACGGTCAATAAATCGAGTCACCAATCCAAATCCTGTCTATAGTCACTCCATACTACATGACAGTATGCTAGCGGCCAATACATTCTGAACTGTTGTTATACACAGTAGATATGTCTGTATTTGTCCCTTTCTTCCCTTACAGTTCCTCCATCCCTTGAATCTCAAGTGTCAAGATTAAAGTCTCTACCAGTATATGTAGCTCTTTCATGAAACACCATAGTTTCACAGACTATTATGGAAGTAAATAGGAAAATAGGGAAATGCACAAGGTTTCAAAAGCATGTCACTATTTTGGAAACTCCTAAGGATAGAGATTATTATACTAGGCATGGGTACCACCTGAATGGACTAGGTAAAGAAATTATTTGTAAGCAACTTGCCTCAGTAATTGATGGATTGTTCCAGCCTATTGAGGTTATACCCATTACATTGGACTGGAAAAACAACCAGGTATTGCCCTTGGAGTTAGAGGCCACTTCTGCCAATAGTGATTTTAGTAACACTGTGTCTAAGGGCAATATAGAGAATGGAGGTAAAGCATGTAGAGTGTCAAGCAGGCAAAAAAAGGTACCTACTAACAGAACGGGCGATTTTTTATGGCAAATTTAAACCCAAGCTCCAATATGAAAAGAACATCAAGGGAATCTAGTACTGAACACAAGGTACCGTTTATGATATGTCATCAGAATATTAGATCATTGAATGGTAAAATGGATGAGTTACTGGCATATTGGTTAAATGAATCCCCGCACATCTTATGTCTTACTGAGCATCATCTGCGCAAGCAAGAAATTAGTAAACTATGTAGTAGTCCTTATTCCTTAGCAGCCAGTTATTGTAGAAGCAAATATAATTAGGGAGGAGTATGTATATACGTACACTCTTCACTATCATTTGTAAGCATTGATTTAGAAAAATATTGTAAAGAACAGGATCTTGAGGTATGTGCTATTAAGTTACGTCTAGCATCGGTTACATACTGTATAATATCAATATATAGATCCCCAGTTGGCAAACTTCCTTATTTCATAAGTACTTTAGACCTTGTACTAAATAAGCTTTACTCCATTTCTACTAATATAATCCTTTGTGGCGATGTTAACATAAATTACCTTTGTGAGAGTAATAATAGAACTCAGCTTGACTCTCTTTTGGCTTCATACAATCTGTTTAATATAGTTAATTTCCCCACAAGGATTGATAATAAGTCTTCTACTGCTATTGATGGTATATTCATTGATAAATATAAATTTTTTAACTATGTTATCATGCCAGGGGTAAATGGCCTATCTGACCACGATGCACAAGTACTGGTATTAAATAACTCAAAAGTCCACAATTCTAAATTTTGTAGGTATAATAAGCGACAGATAAATAAAACTAGTATTGAGAATTTTAAACTTAATTTAAGTTTTGAAACCTGGGAAGAAATTTTTTCAAATGAAGATGTAGATAAAATATTTAATGCTTTTCTTAATATTTATTTGAGAAATTTTAATAATTGTTTTCCTATCAAAAAATTATTTAGTAAATATAATAATAAGGCATGGTTAACAGCTGGTATTAGAATTTCATGCCAACATAAAAGAAATCTTTATATCTTAAGCAGGAACTCAAATAATCCTATACTTTATGCCTACTATAAAAAATATTGTGGAATACTGAGGGAAGTTATAAAAACTGAAAAAAAAATGCATTATAATAGACTGATTGCCAAATCTAATAATAAAACTAAGACTATGTGGAGTATGGTAAATAATGTAACTGGCAAATGTAAAAATATTCGTGATCCCCCACCACTAATTGTAGAGGGAATGGAATGTAAAGATAGTCAAAGTATAGCAACAGCTTTCAATTTATACTTTGATGCTACAACAATTAAGAAGCTAAATAATGTTAGTATTAACTTGGATCCAATATCAAGCAATGATAATTTTCGTCATTATTTATCCTCATTGCCTTTAGGACCCAGTAATAATATTTTATATGAACCTGTAACTTACAAAGAATTAAGTGATATTATTAAATCCCTTAAAAATAAAAGTTCCTATGGCTATGATGAAATATCGACGAAGATAATAAAATTAAGTATGTTATATATTATGTCCCCTCTTATTTACATATGTAATAGGTCCTTGGCCACAGGTACATTTCCCTCAAGGTTAAAATACTCACAAATACATCCGGTACACAAGAAAGGTGATGCGTCTGAAGTATCTAATTATAGACCAATTTCTGTGCTTACATCCTTTTCTAAAATATTTGAAAAGGTTATATATAATAGAGTGTATGCTCATGTAGTACTTAATAATATATTGCCTGCTGAGCAACATGGATTTAGGAAACATCTATCTACGGATACTGCTATTCTTAGTTTACTTAATAATATTATGCAGGCACTTAATGACAGAAAACTGGTCGGTGGTATTTTCTGTGACTTAACAAAGGCCTTTGATAGTGTGAACCATGATATTTTACTTGAGAAAATGGATTTCTATGGTATAAGAGGTATATTTCATAAATTGCTTACCTCATATTTAAGTGATAGATACCAACGAGTAGTAATTAAGGATAAACAAGCTATACAATATTTTTCTGAGTGGAAACAGATCAGATTGGGAGTACCACAGGGATCAATTCTTGGGCCATTATTTTTTTTATTATATATAAATGATTTGCCAGCAGCAGTAAATAATATGTCAAAACCCATCCTATTTGCAGATGACATTAGTCTAATAGTATCTACTTCAGATCCTAATCAGCTTAAAGAATGTTTTAATTTAGTTGTTGAGAAATTGATGAGATGGTTTCAGGCAAATTCCTTGACATTAAATTTTAATAAAACATATTGTATGTATTTTACAACGATAAGGAAACATATTGTAAACTCCCCTATAAAGTATTTACATTCTGACATTAATAGTACACAAGTTATGGACTTTCTGGGGGTGTCTTTGGATCCATCCTTATCTTGGCAAGGACATATATCTAAAACAATAAAGAAATTAAATTCTGCTTGCTTTGCCATTAGGTCTCTGAAATCGTTACTATCTATTAATGATCTAAAAATGATATATTTTGCCTATGCTCACTCTATAATTGTATATGGAATTGCCTTTTGGGGAAATGCCACTAATAGCAAGGATGTCTTCATAGTGCAAAAAAGAATTATAAGGAGTATTATGAATGTAAATTCTAGAGCCTCTTGCCGGGGATTTTTTAAATATTTAAACATATTGCCTTTTTATTCTCAATATATACTTTCGCTTTTGCTTCTGGTGGTGAAAAATATGCATTTGTTTGCACTAAATGCTGAAATACATGTCATAAATACACGACAAAGTACCAGCTTACACGTGCCATTGATAAATTTGGCCAAATATAAGAATAGTGTGTGTTGTATGGGTATTAAAATATTTAATAATCTGCCACATAATTTAAGAAAATTATCGAGTGATTATAAAAAATTTAAGTTAGCTATAAATAATTTTCTCTTAAATCAATCATTTTATTCGATAAATGAATACTTGGAGTGGTCAAATGAAAGGAAATAGATTACAGGTGAATATTTGTTTTATTTAGATACACTTATGTGTAGTAGTTTTTGTAGACTCTGTATAAATGTATGTATACTTTTATTATTAATTGCTTATAATGTCCGTATTTTAGTTATTATTGATTTATTATACTAAGCATTGACTAAGTTGTATTATTGCAACTGTTTTATTATAGTATATTTTACTATTTGGGACTGCTTCTACAACTGTGGTGATTGTGTCGCCTGTATGTTTTTCTTGAAGCAATAAAGATATTATTATTATTATTATTATTATTGTGTGCAAAATACTCCTGTATGGACACTGTCACCTGATGCAAGGTACAGGGTGCAAGCACCATAACTGATAAACTTATATACCAGCTCTACAGCCATCAAAATAAAAATCTTTTTGAATTCTCTGGTTATCAACGTCATGACAGAAAGTCAGGGTGAACTAAAATTAGATGATGCTTGTGCTAAGCTAATTAATCTATTATATCACTTTCAGCAAGGTTACTAATGTTTATGATTGTGTTCTCTGTGTGTAGGTTACCGGTGCCTTGGTTACTCTATGGGATCATCTATGGTAAGCCTGTTGAAGTAAACAGTATTGGAATGGTGTGTTCCATAGCCATCCTCTTCATGATGCTGCTATTTGTGATCCTTTCCATCGCCTGTTTTCACTGGAAGATGAACAAGGGGCTGGGTTTCACCATGTTCCTGCTTTACTTTGTCTTTGTGGCTGTCTCGCTCATGTTCGAGTACAAGATAATTACGTGTCCCTTTTAGTGTCAAGAGGTGACTAAGCTATTTTTTTACAGCCAGAGTGGAGTTATTTGTTTGGGGATTGGGAGGGGAAGGTGGTCTGGGGCCGGTCCCAAGGCCCTTGTTGATTGCTCGTGGCAGCTAGAAAATGTTACTTATATTCATCGTTATACGCTGTTTAAATTACAGATACATACATTTATATAAGTACATACATTATATACAGTTAGGTTGTCTGTGAAGTATCTGGTGTACTGTAAATACTGAAAGACATTTACAAATATTAAGTTATTTTGCTAGACATCAAAATGCATCATTTCATATGTATGAATATCATTCAACACATATAAAGTACTATATACCCTAAAATATTAAATATACATATATTTTGTGAATGTTGGTTATTGTTGTAGAGAAACAAAAGTAATTTTCTTGGTTGTTTTGCAGAGTGTAACATGTTTCTCAAAAGTTTTGAATTATTTATTTTAGGAAAAGGATAAATTTTAAACTTAAGATTAATCAGTAACAGCAAGGTTGCAGAACTAAAAGATAACTATACACCAATAAAAAAAGGAAGAATAAGTTGCTATACTTTCCAGTGATATACTCGTAATATCAAGCACTTTATATCAAAGAAAACCATACACCATTTATATTTACATAATGTGGAGAAAAGCTGCTGACCTTAAGAAGACGTGAGCTTTCTTTGGGCGTAATTACATTCTGAATTTGGGAAGCCAAGAAAGTAAAATCATGTCTTTTACAGAAACTGATATATTCATATGAAAAATGCAGCCTTTATAATCAACAAAAACATCTTGACATTTTGTCAGAACATCTAGAAACATTATTTCTCTGATTTATTATTGCTCCTTAAAAGTATATAATAATGATAAATATTACAGAATTATCATTTTGCTAGAAGGTAATTCTTGCTGTGTACAACGTGTGATAGCATAGTGTATATTCATACACACTAGCATGAATCTTAGATAAATAATTTTGTTTGCCACAAGAAGAAAGTACTCATATAACACTAAATACAGGGACGGAATAACACACTGAATGCTTTCTGTTGTTACTATGTGCTATTAAGCTCTCCAAACATCACAAACAAATAAAAATTATAAAAACAAGACACTTTCTTCCATATCATGTGTGTCTCTCTTTTTTACTACTTCTATTCTATAATAACTAGCCATCTGCAGTTCTGGGATTGCTGCCTCGCCCAGCTCCGTGAAAGCAATAAGCAATGTTGCGTGTAGCTGTACGTATTATTGTTGTTATTATTGTTGTTGTCTTTGTAATTAAATTGTTAATGCATGTCTCAAGCACAACCTACAAGTGCAGACAGGGAAAAACTCAACGATATTCCCCCATGTGGACATCACTGTTAGTGTGCAGAGTTGTTAGATGTAAACTGTTTCTGCCTGGACACTTCCAGTGCCAGGACATGTGAACTAGGAACAAGTGCAGCAAGAATACAAACTTCAGTTCACAACTAAAATATGAATATACCATGAAGGAACAAGACAAGGAAAAAGACTTATGCAGTGTTTCTGGAATAAAAAGTGAAGTATCAGCTGAATGAGCATTTTGTTTGGAGGACTTATGACAACTGTCTTGACATTGTATGGATTTGCCTTAATGCTGAGAGATGGGAGTCAGGCAATATGTATCACGGATGAGTTGGAATAATTGTTAAATTCTTACGAAGCCTTCGACTGATGAGGGCAAGTAAGTGACATAACTGCAATGTGGTATAACCAAACTATCTGAATATTATACTTCAGCAGTCCCTTGTCAAGTTTATAAGCATTCTTAAAATCTTAAATATTCTTATGATACCTTGCTGAGATTGTAATTAATAAATAAAATGCATGAATGTTGGTTATGGTTTATCTCTGATAGGTTGGTATGAATATATTTTGTAAAATACCTTTGAAAGCACAACAAGCAGTGCTGTGGTTTCACCCTGATACCAGCTCTCATCATGATGGCAATTTGTACTATATTTTGGGCACATTTCTGAAATACTTTACTCTAATTTTTATCATAGTAAACACCTGCTTCAGAGAGGGTATGGATAAAATCATGTTCTAACCTCTGTATCATTGAGTTCTTACATTATATATTAGTGTACTGTTAATAATAATTTGAGACTGATGAATCATCTGTAATGCTGAGTTGATAGCAGTTATGACATCCCTAGCGCCAAAGGAAACTGTTTAATTAAGGCTCATTGCATTGTTCAAATATTAGCATTAATAGAAATATGTATCCACTTATTAACACTTATTTAGGATGCCCGATTATATTTTTGACATGTTTCAATCCTGAAGCAAAGAGAGCTCAATGAACATACTGACTAGGCTATGGACTATATGACTAGGGTTCCAATTCCAGGCAACAGCAAGGATTTTTTACTTTATTTCTTCTCCAGAGTGTCCAGACTGAACCCAAATCCCCCCCCCCCNGTGAAGCTCACTACTCACCTCCATATAGTTCTGACATCATGAATGTGTGGAGCTCCATTTCCATTCTTGTATACATCTGCATGGCATGGTGAATAACTTAACTTTATCTTCCAGCTCTTGGCACTAATGCTTCACATTCAGGTTGTCTCAGGTTCAAATCTCGGTCCAAAGACAAACTACCCTGACCGAGATTTATCATGGTCTTCCTCAGTTCCTCAAGCAAATGTCAGGACAGTACCTCAAATTAGGCCACAACTGCTTTCTTCCACAACAATTCCAGTTCATTACTCACTAAGCATTATACCATCAATGCTTTACAGCCTGAGGTACTGACAGCATTGTTAAATAAATAATAAATTATGAATCCTTTCTACAGCTACAGGCTGGATTACAGAGGGGTCAGAATTCAAGTCCCAGTAGCAGCAATAATTTTCTCTTCTCTACATTGTCTCTGGCATCCACCCAACCTCCTATCCAATGGGTACCAGGGGCTCTTTCCCTGGAGGTAAAGTGGCCAGGGCGTGAAGCTGACCACTCACCTCCAGCTAATGTGGGTCTATACATCCACTCCCCCCATATGCTTTCACAGTGTAGTGTTTAATTAGCTAAGCACAGGAACTACTTTACCTATAATTTCTTTATTAAAACCGTCACAACACAACTATATCGGTCGGTGCCAAGTCTGGCTCTGCTACATGTTTCGGCTACAAAAAGCCATCATCAGGCAATTACATGGCCAAAATATATACACGAGTCATCGTTTACATTCCCTACAGAACGGACAATACTTCATAAGATGAGACACCGACTAAATAATTAACATTAATATTACTACATCTACATCACGAGCCTCCAAAACAGTTTATTATATATACACAAAATATAGAATACTCCAATTTGTCCATGGGAACACAACAAAATCGCAAAAACCAACGACTGACTCGATGATGTAAAGCATCACTTGAAGAATTTTAATCTTGTTTTATACTCTTAAGTTTTATATGTCTAATTTATTGTACTTTTACACCAAGTATTTTAATATAATTAATATTTTTGTATCCAATTTTACTAGTACTGCAGTTCAGTGGTGTATATATTTTGGCCATGTATTTGCCTGATGATGGCTTTTGGTAGCCGAAACAAGTAGCAGAGCCAAACTAGGCATTGACCTTGATATAGTTGTGTTGTGACGGTTTTAATACAGAAGTTGCATATTATAACACAACAGGGTGCATGAAATGAAAACTACTTTACCTTTTTATATGTTTCAGTCTTGCTACTGGATCATCATCATCCTATGTTGGTACAGCTGTAATAGGATATTTCTTAGGACATTATAAAAAATCATGTCAGACTGAAAACACTATTATAGCTTCAATTGCTTGATGATGGACCAAGGGGGAGGGAAAAACATATTACAAAGAATTCAAACTGAGAATCCTAAAAATGTTGATAAACGTATATTTTAGTAATACTACATACACGCAAGCACTGTAGTTGGTTGAGACACTATGCTACAAGCTGAAAGGTCGCGGGTTCAAGTCCGAATGAGGTCACTGGATTTTTTCAATTGACCTAATCCTTCCGGCCGGACTATGGCCCTGGGGTTGACTCAGCCTCTAACAGAAATGAGTACCAGGAATTAATTAAATAAATTTTTCTGGGGAGAAAAGCGCGGCCGGCGTGTAAGGCTGACAACTTTACCGCCATCTGTGAGCCGATTGTCTAGATAATGTGGGACCCTCAACATCTCACAACCCTATGGGTCTTCATGGTCTGTTACTTTTTTTTTTTACTTTACGACATACAGTTAGTTACTGGCACATTCAGACATCTAAGTGATATTCCAAGATGTTCCAAATATGGAGCAATGGAAGAACAGAAAACACATGTGGCTCACTTAATTCATATAGGAAAGTGATTGTATTTTGAATGAAAAGTCCATGTGATATATTCAGTTAACTAAAGTGAATATGAAATGCAGCATAGAGCCCCCCTGGATAGACTATTTTATGTCACCATTATATGACTGTACACCAATATATCACAACTAGAAGACTCTCTTGACCATCATCTACATATACCATTCAAGATATAATAACTGTATCATGTCATACTTTATTGGACAGGCACCAACTCGGGTTTCAATTATAAAATATTTATCAAAAGAACAAAAGGACAGTGTATACATAAAGTGGTTTGTTGTTCTGTGTGAAGGGAGAAAGAAAGTCTTTTGCAGCACAGTCACTTTCCTTACCTCTCTCTTTCCCTGCTTAGTTTCATGGTGATTTAAATTTTAATCTACTGTTTTACAAGTGTCCCTTATAACGTTCTGGAGAAAGTGGAGATTTAGTGTACTAAGAATGTTGTGATGTTCTCAAGCACCACAGAGTGAATGCTTATACAGGAAGTTGAGGCAAGTCTCCACATGCTGTAGATTTCATCACAAGATAAGTGCTTTTGTGCAGGCATAGTGTACCTGGCACCAATCGTATAGGAGACTGTGGAAGCACAATCAGCTCATGTATGGTGGCAAAAAGAAAACCCTCTATTGTACCAGATATTAGAACACAGCTATCAACCTACTTTACTGACCTCTGTGTTAGTTTTAGCATTTGTCAGTATGAGTAGTATTGTCATAGTTTGGACTGACAAAGCTAAAGAATAAGCACAGACAAAACAGAATTTCACGTCTCTCTGTGTATCATGGTAAAGATATATGATTCAGTGTTACATTTTTAAACTCACTGTAAACAACTTCACTATTATTGTTACCCCCTGTTCCTCCAGCATTGTGGTGCAGTGTTTCTTGCTATGACCAGTGTTCTTTTCTCAAATAGATCATTGGATTATTCTCTTCACCATGTCAAGAATACCTCTGGGGTTCACCTAGTCTCATAACCATTGGAAATCTCAGTCCAACTACACAAGGACTCATCATAAAGTTTACAATAGATGGGCATTTTTAAGCCAGAAAACTGTTAGGCATTGTAAATAGGCCATGCAGATTCGAAATACTTGCCTCAATGATGGTGAAAATATGCAGCATGCAGATTTTTGACATAATTGAGAACAAGAAGGAATGGAGAATCTGCAGTCACTTCCCCACCAATTCTTTTATTTTCATGCCACCATTATCATTTAAAATACTGAGCCACAGTGTAGGACTTAAAGGCAACTGAATAAATCAGAAAAGTTCCAAACATCAGAAACATGTGGGTAGAATTTCTGCTTCATATTCAAGAGGTTATAGTTTCAAATCTGGATCCAGAGATTGGCTATCCTGACAGAATTTTTTGTAATATTACTCAGTCATTTCAAACGAATGTTAGGACAGCATCTTAAATTAGATCATGACCCCTTCCTTCATATCTTGTACATACCATTATTCAATAATCATCCTATCATTCAACAATGAATAGCTGAGCTACTGATGCTGTGGCTAAATTATGTATAAATAAGTAGTACTGTAAATGGAAAAGAAAAGTGAAATGAACAGAACCTGCGGCAATTGTCTGAATTTTTTACATGCCTCTAAACTGTAGTGTAACAGACAAATGGAAAATAACTTCTTTTTTTGCACTAGCATCAGCCTGTTCTGCCTCTTTTCCATATTTCATACTTCACTCCTAGTCTGCCTCTCCATAGCAGTCTTTGAATGAGTGGCAAATTTATTACAAAACTCAGGACATTATACAATTGCAGGTTGCACTATCATTTGAATCCATTGTCATCAAGCACGTGGTCATGCAAGCTTCTGAGATAGAAATCTGAAGTAAAATCTTGCACTAAAGATATAACTAATTTCTTTCTAAGGTTCTCAGTAATACTAACATTAAGTAATCATTCTTTATTTGTATTATTAGTAAAGATATGGGAACAACAATTGTCTCTGTTTCTTATCCATGCTGGGTAACTGCTTTCAATATCTGTTTAACATTTCTTATCCATGCTGGGTGAACTGCTATCAATATCTGTTTTACAGTATGACTGCTATGGGAAGGCAGATGGCTATATGTGTCATTGATATTTTATCTTTTCACCAGCCACTCCATACCTGATGATCTTCCACTCAGCATGTTTACATGTGATAGTAGTATGTCAAGGACATTTCCTCTCTGCCTGACATATATCCCCATGATAAGCTTATTTCCCATTGAGTGCATCTCAGTTACCTTCCCAGAGCAGTCATAATGTAAAAACTTTAGGGATATGTCTGTGTAGAGGTCTGCTCTTTCTGAAGCTCAGAGAATCTGTGAAATATGCAAGTAGGCATAATGCAGTGACAGGAACCACAAAGAGTGAGTCTTATATGTCAACATGCAGCTGAGTAATTACCCCTGTAAAAGGTTCATTCATTACAGCCATCATTATTTTCCCACCTGATATACAGAAATTCTGTCCTTTCAATAGAGAACATGTCCCCGTGGGGAAGAAGTATCATAGCTGAAGACAGGTTTATGCAGTTACTTGAATTAGATCAGCCATGTACTCTGTTGACAGCAGTCCTTGTACACAAGAATATAGCTGTATCCATACATTGGCACAAAGGTTTCATTGTTCTCTAAGTGCCTAGCATTACAAACATCTTTGTTTTTGTTTAATCTGTGGTGTTGTAGTGGTCATTAACATCAGCTGATGGGGTCACATATCAAGTAAAGTGAAGGTTGTTGGTTGGACATAGGATGCAATGGAAATGCACATAATAGAGTATGTAAGTCAAGTTAAAATTAGACATACAAAGACACTGTACTGTGCATTTGTTCCATACAGGGGAACGAACCCACACAAACATATAGCCATATTCATTACTTAAAACTATAAACATAATCATAGTGTACTCTAACATAGGCCTGCCTGGTGTACATGCAGTATTCTTCTTAAACATTAATAGATACTTAATACTGACAGAGTCTATAGAAATATCATATATACTGTTTACTCGGCTTTGATTGCAGTAGGAATTTTTTTATTTATTTTTCTGTGT